CTCGAGCATTTAGTGATGTTGTGTCTGAGGCAAAAGAGAAAGGTTATACTGAACCAGATCCCAGGGATGATCTGTCTGGAACCGATGTTGCCAGAAAGGTACCCGTCTTCTTCACTTTATGCAATGAATTAGGCTTTCTGATGCATGTCATGGAACATAATCAAGTCAACTTGTTTATAACTAGTGGTCACATCATCTTGCAGGTTATAATCCTTGCAAGAGAATCTGGTTTGAAGTTGGAACTTTCCGATATCCCAGTACAAAGTCTAGTTCCAGAACCCCTCAGAGTAAGACCCTTCCTCGTAGAGACCTCCACTTCTAATTCGACATATGGACGTGCGTCCTTCTCCTTTATATTTTTATCTAATCAAATGACAAAAATTCTTCACATGTTCGCTGCTGCAGGCTAGTGCATCTGCTGAAGAGTTCATGAACCAGTTGCCCCAATTCGACCAAGACATCGCAAAGGAACGACAAGCTGCTGAGGCAGAAGGATACGTAAGTTTAACTTCCTGACTCTTCATTCTTGCTTGTTGCTATCGAATTCTGGTATAAGAAAGGGATCCTTAAAACAGCCACGGAAGTTCATGCTCACTAAAAATGGTCCCTAAAGTTCAGATTTTTCACAAATTTTTGTTACTCAAATTTGGAATAACTAACATGACGATCACTGTGTCCATTTGTAGGTGTTGAGATACGTCGGGGTGGTGGATGTAACACGAGCAGAAGGGCGAGTGGAGCTGAGACGATACAAGAAGGACCACGCCTTCGCACAGCTCGCTGGCTCCGACAACATCATTGCATTCACCACCAGCAGGTACAAGGAGCAGCCTTTGATCGTCCGAGGACCCGGCGCCGGCGCTCAAGTCACGGCAGGTGGCGTGTTCAGTGACATCCTGCGGCTTGCTTCCTACCTCGGTGCTCCATCGTAAGAAAACATCAACGATGGCACACTCACCTGAGCCTGCTGGTTCTGGAAGTTTGGTGGTTTTGTGGAGCTTGCTTAGGCTTAGTTTGGCTTGTTTGTTTCATTTTCTCAGTAGCAGGCAAGTGTTGGATGTGTAGCTAATTTTGTCTCAAGTCTGAACTACTCCTGGTGAAAGGGTTCAATAAGAGTGGAATTATCTTCTACTTTTCGTCTGCTCTCCCTTTCTTATTTCCTTTCTCGTTTTCTTTTACGCAAGAAGTTACATTTGATTCTTGAACTTTTATTATTTGGTCATCTCGGTACATGAAAATTATTTTTATCACATCAGTACAAGAATTCATATTTTTATCATTACGGTACATTAACTTTTTATTTATTGATAATTCTAAACAGATTTTATACATTTCATTAATAACAATTAAATATACTATGTCATATGCCACGTGTACCGTGTAACATATTAGAGATATTAACAACTTGTTATTAAAAAAAACTTTCATTATATTATTGCTCTTTACATGATTTCAAAAAGGATTAGTTGATAAAAGAAAAGAAAAAAAAATCATAATCTTCTAATAAACTTGGCTATTGGTGCAGAGACATCATCAGTTATATTACAACATTCTCAAAAATGAACCATAAATCAAATACATTCTCAACTATGTAAACCTAACGTGTAGACATTTTGTTATATAATATACTACTCAAAAGTGTTGACATTTTGTTAACCACCAATAGTGATCAACAAAATTCTTTTGCATATAATAACAATATTACAATTAGGTAGCTTAATCAATCGTTAACCTAAATAGATTGATGTTTCCCAAGGCAATCCCACTCTTAATCAAATGCATATACCAAACAATTAACTAATCCCTCCTATGTGCGTAAACAAACGTATTTCTCGGCTTATTACATTTTCGACCTTAGAAAGTCTTCTGTGTCTAATACGTTTTCAACCTATTCGATTAACCTAAATTTTATCCTTCTGAGGGGATATATATATGATCAATTATTTTTGTAGATGGAACCAAAGGTGACAATGAAGGATGTGAGCTTCAAGAACATCAAGGGGACTTGTGCATCTCCATTGGCCATAAACATTTCATGCAGCAGTGCTTCCTTCTGTAAAAATCTGGAGCTTTGCTGATATTGACCTTAAACCAGTTATACTACAGCTGGGTCAACAGCAAAAATACTAAAATCTCAATGCACCAATACTAAGGTCATCAAGTCTGGATTAGTAACCTATTCGATTAACCAAAATTAAGACAGTGAATTAAGCTAATTGTAACAGTAAGCTAGTTCATGTACCGAAACATGTTTAGAAGAAAAGTGATTGATTTCGAATTTCATGCTCTTATGCAAGCTAAATCTCCTCATCCAATCAATATAAAGGGTTACTAACTTTCGATATAGAAGGTGTAGGCCATCAACTACTTGGCTAAGTTCATAAAAAAAAAAACGTCTGTACAATTAGATGTTATGGCATTCGATATAATATCACTAAAAATCCGCATAACATTAACACTTGACGGGTTGGATTCGAATTGACATGACGAACATGGATGAACTATCTATGATATAACAATGCCAATAAGCAGTTCTAGCTAGGTATGGTCGCCTCTCTATTAATTAGAGCTAAACCCAATTAAATTGCCGGTCAAGTACTGGAACATGCACTAATTGTATATTTGACTTGATCTTAAGGAGTAGTGGGTTGGAAGGTTTAAACGGTCGCTGCCGGTCACAAACAGATTAAATGCAAAAGAATTGGCCACTACCATTTTACAATCTGCAGATCAGTCAGACTTTGATTACTTGTCAAGGTTGGAGCAGTTTCAGTACTAATGAGACTTTCAGTCTTTCGGCCGAACACCTTTAAGAAATACTAAAATTAACAATAACTCCTATACGTAATTGTCTAAATAAACATATAAACGAAATTCTTGGTTCTGAAGAGTGGTGACAATTGCATGAACATCACAATCGATCGAAGTTGTTCGTCAGAATCACTGTAATTTTTACTTAGAAATGACTCCGAAATCATCATATAGACGTACACAACTTATGAAAAGTGAAAGAAACCACTTAATTTGTCATTTTCCTGATAATAGAAATAATTGAATTGGTCTGGCAAGTTTGGGTGATGCATACTATTGCATAGTAGAGTGTAGATGTATAAAAGTATAAACTTTCTTGTAGAAAGAGTCTCATCCAAATAAAATTAAGATGGAAATACAGTGAGGACAAGCCAATAAGTTAGGGCTCATGAGCTAATGGCAAATTCTCTAGAGTACCCAACACATGCAATTACTTCTAATTCTTCATATACAGCTTTGGATTTCACTGATTGAAAAGTTCATATTGGTATAATTGTATTTTTTTCATGAATTGTTGCTCACTTTGGTTTTTTCATGAATTGTTGCTCACTTTGGCTTTATTCTCTACGGTTTATGACCCAGTAAACATGTACATTCTGATTTAATCGAGTATCATACTGTACTTTGTTTGTACAATGCCTAACTAGCTAAATTGTGAGCACGAAATTGTTTTTTGCTTAATTAGCAACAAGTTCAATAGGTTGACAAAGGCAGAAAGGCCTAATCGTAACCATCATAGGTTCCCAATAATGGAGGCAAAAGGAATCGATCCAAATTAAACAACAAGTTTGATGTGGCACACCTCTTTTTTAGAATTATATAAACCAAGTCAACAGGAACAATTAAAAGGATATAGTTTTATTAAGTAGGGGAAAATAAAGCATAATTGTTTTTATGCACGATTAATTAATTAATAAAATATGATTTCCCATGTATTTCACTTAGGCAAACCATTGACATGGTAAACAGTAGAACCACCATAAAAGATTTAGTAATGCATATAGTTTTTTTTATACATACAATACATGTTTGTTTATATTTTTCTAATTTGCATTATGTATATTGTTATTCCAACTAACATGTTTCATTTTATATATTACCCCAAACCAGGGATGAGAAAGTATATATTAGACGGTTTGATCCATGTTCTGCAATATTGGTTGTTATGACTTTTTAGTCTGGTATGGTCCAGACAATGATTTACCGGTCAAGACCACAAACTCAATCGATTTCTCAATCTGTATTAGCAACCACCTCTTTACTTCCCGATGAGCCCTAATTTTTCGAATTTCCTCCTTTCTTCTTCCGAATGTCACACTCCACTAGAGAGCATATATGACATGTCTTCATATCATATTATGTCAATGTTTACTAAGTTATGGTGAAAGTTGGACTACTTTGACTTTGTGTCGTTATTATTTGCTTGAATTTAGCTATTATACATGCATGTTAGAATTTATTTTTAAAGACAAAAAATTATTTCCTTCCCTCGTTATTCATTTAATTCTTTGTTTGATGACCAAACAATTTGTTCATTTTTTACTTAACAAGATCTGCCCCGATCAAGAACGTACCGACCCATATCACATATGTGTGGGTTGATCTAAACCGTATAGTACTCTATGTCTGATCCCCTAATATGTGTTTCAACCACTCAATCTGGACCGCACATATAATCAGAGCATATTGTTTCATCACCCCAGTTTACTTATTATCACAAGATAAAACCACGTAATCTAACCCTAATACCAGCATATACCTATAGTTGAATTTGGTTGTTTGAATATTTGTAGAACAAAAAAGACTTACAATCAAAGATTGATGATTTCTTTGCTGATATCACCACCATATAATTTTCAAATTTTCATGTAATTTGGCATGCAATAAGTAAATAAACAAAATCCACATGAGGAATATAGCATGAAACAAGCAAAACAAGAGTGGAAAAAATTGCATGCCCCTTCCACTAACCCCATTGGGTGCAATTTGTTATTTGTTTCTTTGTTCCCTTTGGCTTTTTGCCTCCTCTTCCTTCCTCCATTATTTTTGACACAGTCAAAACTTCCCCTTCCTTCAAACCTCTCTCTTTCTCCCCTCCAAGTTTGTATATTATTAACAACCATATTTGTGGATACTGAAGACAAGTTCAAAGAAATTTCCCTATATATCACCTCCATACACAATTCTTCCTTTCCATAACCTTTCTAAAGAAATTAAACCCTTTACAATAATACACAATACCCTCCAAACCCTTCTTCCATAAGTAGTTATAACCTTACAACTTTCCTTCTCCTTCTTCTTCTTCCCCCATCTTCACCATTCAACCAAAATCTCATGCAACTTTGACACTCAAAGAAGGAAAATCAAAGAGAAGTCAGTCTTTTTGTCAAAAAGAGCAGGCACCCACAAATAAGAAGAAAAAGGAAACAATGGTGCTACATTCAGAAGATTTTCTTTGGGGTTTCTCAGTCATTTCTCTAGCTCTCTACCTCTTCAACAACATCTCCAAACACTCCTTCCTCTCCCTCCTCACCTCTTCTTCTTCTTCATCCTCCTCCTCTCCTCTTTCATGGCTACAAAGGCTCCTCCCACCTCAAGATTCCTCTTCATCAGCTGATGAGAACACTCATCATCAAGAACAAGAACAACAAGAAGAAGAGATCATGATGGTGAATAGCCTCAAAGATTGCGGCAAGAAGGAGAAAGGGCTTCTTCTTCATCCTCATCCCCATCAAAGTGGTGGCAACAACAACAAGCTGACGATCATGAAGAAGAAGAAGAAGATCAGGCCAAGCAACCTCATCGTGCCGATCCAAAGCTACCCATGTGCCAAATCGGAGTTCGAAGAGCTTTGCAAGAGGTCGGAGAGCAAGGAGCTCGAGGTTCGTGGGAGGAACTTTTGCTTGGCTAGCAAGAAAGGGAGGAGGGAAGTCATGGAGGATGGGTATGAAGTCGTCACCGACATCCATGGAGACTCCAAGCAGGTACATGTTAGTGGCGGAGCTAGAAATCTGGACAGGAGGGACTAAAATTTTACCAATTTTTTTTTATTAATTTGATACAATTTTTACGAGTTGAGAGGAGGTTATAGCCTCTCTTTCCATCAACGTGGCTCTGTCACTGATCTTCTTTACAGATGAAACTACAGTGATATCTTTGGTTGAGTGTGGTTGTCTAATCTTGAACATGACAATTACAGGGTTTTTTCGCGGTGGTCGACGGGCACGGTGGCCGGACGGCGATGGAGTACGTGGCGGAGAATTTGGGGAAGAACATAGTGGAAGCCATGGATGATGGTGATGAGGTGGTGGTGGAGGAAGCAATTCGAAAGGGATATTTTGTTACAGACAAAGGGTTCCTTAGCCAGGTAAACTTACCTCGATGCTTGTTGTTTTCAGTCCTTCCAAAGAAAGTCTTGATTTGGTAGAAATAGTCAGTCGTATGACTTGGTCTTCAATTTGACAGAATAATTTAACAATAATATGCATGGAATTTTGATGTACTATTCATATGTCGGCAATTAGGGTGTTCACATCATTATATTCTTTCTCCCATTTGATTGGTTAACCCAACTTTCTTTTTGTGTGTGTTAGGTTACTAACTAGCTAGTGTGTCCACATTAGGGTTCAACTACGAGATTTTTTTGGTTATCGAAGTTTAATTTTTACATTTAGAATCAACAATCAACCGTCGGTTTATGATATTTTGATCAAACACTTATTAATTTTAAGATGGAACTCAATTTGGATCTCTTTTTATGTTTTAATTTTTCGTTGTGATGGGTTATTAATTTTGTTTTCCCCCCCTTCTTTACGCAGAGGGTTAGTAGTGGAGCTTGTGTTGCAAGTGTGGTGATGAAAAATGGAGCAATGCATGTCGCGCACGTGGGGGATTGTCGAGTAATTCTAAGCAGACACGGAGTGGCCGTTCCATTGACAATCGATCATCGTCTCAACAGTACTAGAGAAGACGAGCGGCGACGTATTGAGAATATGGTAAGATTGATTCTATAAACTGGCCAATCAATCAATCGATCGATCTTGTTAGACATTTACAATCGATGATACGCGCGACATGACATTGGTGCTAACTCTGGTAGTTTCTGTATGACTGCAGGGTGGCTATGTACACTGCGACAGAGTCCAAGGTTCGCTAGCCGTCTCGAGGGCTATCGGGGATCTCCACCTGAAGGAATGGGTCATCTCCGAGCCCGATATCAGCAAGGTTCCAATCACTCCAGATTGCCAGTTCTTGATCATGGCTTCTGATGGCCTCTGGGATAAGGTTGGTGAGCAAGAGGCAGTTGATGAAGTCTCAAGGCATTATTGTAACAACAATGGAGTACTGATGGAAGCATGCAAGAAGCTGGTTCAGTTGTCTTTCAGCCGAGGCAATTTGGATGATGCAACGGTTATGGTTATTAGTCTAGGGAGTTTCATGGACCAACAACCACCAATTTTGAGCAACTAATTCATGAAGAGTATATAGTTATGTAGTTAATTAAGTAATATTAGAGTTATTTCCAATGGATGAATACCTAGTGTCTTTGGAAATATCAAAGACAAAAGGTTGGATCGATGTGTATTATTATTATATTTAGCGTTTTCATATCTTGTAAATTTACTTGCTTATGGTACTTTGTTGAATTGTTAAGTACATAATGGGAAGAGTTTCCATCTCCATTATGATATTCTCACTCTACATTTTTTTTTTAACTTTGAGCAACGAATATTAAACCGGTGAGACTATAAAAAGACATGGTAAAAAGTTACTTGTTGTAAGCAATCACTTCTTAATAAATTTTGTTTCGATATACCACTCTCTATTATAAATGTTTTAGCGTACCATATATTCGTAAAAAAAAACTAATTATATTACCAGTGTAGTGATACACAACAATAGCAGAAAAATAAGGTTAATGATGTAAAATTTATTGAAGAAAATCAGTTGTAAATTGTAAGAGTACTGAAATATACAGATAGTAAACTTCAGGAATCTAATCTCATTACAAGAACAATATCGTGTGCATTCTGGGGGTATGTATAAAATAAGAAGGACTAAATTGTAATATATCTAAATCATCTCACTGAAACCCTAAACGCCACAGAGGTGCTAAGATTTTGCAGAGGTAACTAAAATCTTGCTACACTTCTAAAAAGTAAAAACCCTTCTCACAGCTGTCATCAATGGCGGACGGCGGCGGCGAAGAAGTCCAGGTTGTGACCTTGGGAGGTAAGGGCTCATCTCTTTCCTCCTCCTCTGTCAACGCTATCGCTGCCGGCCAAGCTCGACTCCGCATCGATTCGTCGGCACTTGATAGACTAACCACTCAGTCCTCTCCTCCAGAGTCTCTGAAAACATGCAGAATCCCGATCCCCGAAACACTAACCCCGATCGAATGTCGAGCCTCACTCGTCGTCCTGCTCAACAAGCTCCTTCGTCACCCGAATCCTTCAAAAATTCGCACCGTCCTCCCCAATCTGATCGCCGATGCACTAGATTCAGGTTCCGGCGCGGCCACGAGTTTCGCATCAGTTGAGGTGACAGATGAGGAAGAATTGGTGGTCCAGAACTCCTGCGCGGAGCTGTACGGCGTTTCCGCCATTATCGACCACGAAGCAGCTGCTCTGGCGACTGTAGTCGATGCCGTGGCTGCATTGTCGTGCGAGGCGCTGAAAGGAAACGACGCGGCGTTTAATTCCACGGATTCTGGAGATGGGCACGTTGACAAGGATGAGATTGGTGTCGCCAGTGATATGAAGTTGCTGCTCAGTGGATCGAAGATGGCGGGAAAGAATCCGATTAAGGCAATCTCAAAGATTCCTGAAGTTCACGGAGGATTGAGGCAGTTTGTGAAGTCGGTGCATTCGATGACGAGGGTCAAGCTGAATTCCTCTGTGAAAGCCGTGGATGGCGGGGAGAGGGAGGCGGTGGCGGCAAAGCTGCAACCTTTACCCGCGCTAAGGAATGTGGGGGCAAGTAGTTTAAGCAGGGCGAAGCTGAATGTTGAAGCTGTAGGGATTGAAAGTTCTAGGACTGGTTTGCTTACTCTGTTTGAGGAGAAATGCCCTACTGATGCTGATTTGAAGAATGCTGCTAAGTTGGTTTCAGATTTGCTTTTCGAAGAGGATTATCCGGCATTCGTTCATGCATTGAATGGTTTGTTGGAGACTGTGTGGACTATTGTCTCGTGGGAGGTTGTGACGGCTTTTGTTGTTCTGGAGGGTGGAGATTTGGAGGGTGGGACGACTGGTGAAGTGAATGGAGGGGATAAACCGGTGGACAAGAAGAGTGAGAAGAAGAAAAAGAAGGCGGTTCTGGGGAAAGGAACTAGCTTGACTGTGCAGTTAATTAAGGAATGGTTACAGAGAAAGGAAGGGGTAGCTAGTGATGGTCAAACTGTGTTGGAGAAATGGGTGAAGGATGTGTTATTGTTTTTCAATCACAAGCGCCCTCAATTTGGAGAGTTAGTAACCAAAATTAAAGGAATAGTGGAAAGTAATGAAAGTAGAAGGCTTCCTAAGCTTCCTAAGGTAAAAAGAGTCCGTTGCAACTTTGCAGTTGGATGTTATGTTAACTTTCTGTTTTATCCAACATGATTTGGCACTCAGAATTTGGTAAACCCAGGTTCGTTATATATGTTCATGTTTCGAACCATTTTATAGGCAAGACTTTTAAGTTATCCAATCTGCTCAAGCTTTTGTTAACCTCAGTTATCTTTCCTTCGCTGTGTTTTGTTTCCTTTTACCAATCTGCTAAAGCTTTTCTTCGTTGACAAAGTTGCAACCATTTTAACATTCTTGTTTTGTTCTTATGATTTAAAAAAAACCCAGGGTACTCGTGACTTCTCTAAGGAGCAAATGACAATAAGAGAAAAGGCATTCTCTATCATTGCTGACGTTTTCAAGAGGCATGGTGCAACTGCTCTAGACACTCCAGTTTTTGAATTGAGAGAGACTTTGATGGGGAAATATGGGGAGGATTCAAAGTTGGTTTATGATCTTGCTGACCAGGTATGCTGTGTTGTGATGATTATTTCCGGAGTACTCTTTTAGGGAAATACTGAACTCGGAAGCTTGAAAGTTGGGGGGTATTTTCTTGAGTCGTCTAGTTTATCTTGTTAGAAGGAGATTCATCATATTTCAATCTTCAATTCAGCTAAAGCTGATATGATTGTCTTGTGATTTTCACAGGGTGGTGAGCTATGTTCTTTGCGGTACGACTTAACTGTTCCATTTGCTCGGTATGTGGCTATGAATGGTATCACATCATTCAAAAGGTACCAGATAGCTAAAGTGTATAGAAGAGACAATCCAGCAAAAGGAAGATACCGCGAATTTTATCAGTGTGATTTTGATATTGCTGGACAATATGAAGAAATGGGACCAGATTTTGAGGTCATTAAAATTCTGACTGAATTGCTCAATGAGCTAGATATTGGTGATTATGAGGTAATGCCTGCTAATCTTGCTTGCACAAAGCTGCCTCCATAATTAATATTTCTAGATGCAACCATAATTAATTTCTTGATTGTACAAATCATATTCAATGTAACTGGAAGGAAGTCTTCCAGCTCCAGATGTTAGATGTAGCAATTGATCTTCTTTCCCTTCTTTGTTTTCCTTTGAACAGGTCAAATTGAATCACCGGAAGTTGCTTGATGGTATGTTAGAAATATGTGGAGTGCCACCAGAAAAGTTCAGGACAATTTGTTCAAGCATTGACAAATTGGATAAACAATCATTTGAGCAAGTTAAAAAGGAAATGGTAAGACTTTCATCTCTTCAGCTAATCTGGCTTTCATTGGGAGCCTTTGTCTTCTGATTTTTATGATATTCGCGATACTGTTCACTCACTGCAATATCTTTCAGGTTGAGGAGAAGGGTTTAAGTGCAGAGACAGCAGACAAAATTGGTACATTTGTGAAGGAAAGGGGATCCCCTAAGGAATTACTGTTGAAGCTCAAACAAGAAGGCAGCGAATTTTTGCTGAATGCTTCTTCTAAACGTGCACTGGATGAACTGGATATTCTTTTTGAAGCTTTGGACCGTTCAAAGTGCATTAGCAAAGTTGTTTTTGACTTGAGCCTTGCCAGAGGGCTTGATTACTATACTGGAGTCATATACGAGGCTGTCTTCAAAGGAACTACACAAGTGCGTTATTATCATTGCCGTTCTCTTACTCCAACTTTGATCTGGGATTTTTGTTTGTCAATAAGTCTGGTCTAATGTATTGATCCTTTCAGGTTGGTTCGATTGCGGCTGGTGGGCGTTACGACAACCTTATCGGCATGTTTGGCACCAAGCAAGTCCCTGCTGTTGGAGTCAGCCTGGGGATCGAACGTGTGTTTGCTATAATGGAGCAGGTTCAGAAGGACAGGAACCAGGTAAGATAATGAATGTATTACCAAAAATAGAAAACCTTCTCGCCAAGTCCCCCCCCCCCCCCCCCCCCCCCCCCCCCCCCCCAATTAATCAAACTCTGGGAATTAGAATGCTAAAAGTGAACGGGCTGGAGAGTGGTTCTGACTTTTGACACATCTCATAAGTGATTAGGAGCTGATGTTGTGAGGTTGATATGGCAAAATTGACAATCTTATGACTACAATTAATGCCTAGCGACAAGGATTAAGACTGAAATTGAACTCTAGAAACCAATTCTTCTTACGGGGTCCATATCCTCGAGCTAGCTAAGAGTTAAAAGATCATTCGATAGGCGCTCATGTGGTTGTTTTTCCTTTTCTGTTATGGCCATTGGTAGATTGTTCGCCCTACCGAGACCCAGGTTCAGCTGAGCATCCTAGGGGACAAAAGCAAGCTGCCTCTAGCTGCAGAGCTTGCTGGGGAGCTGTGGGACAGCAGAGTGAAAGCGGAGTACATCCTTAACAAGAGGTCCGACAAACACATGGCCCGAGCCAAGGAATCAAAGGTGCCGTGGATGGTCCTCGTGGGGGACAAGGAGCTCGAGAGTGGTACCGTGAAGCTAAAGAACATGGAGGCCAACGCCGAGGAAGAGGTTCCAAGAGCTACATTTGTTCAGGAATTGCAGAGACGGTTGAAGGAATGAACGATACATGCCCTAGTCACAAAGCAATGCTGCCTGTTTTGTTATCTTAGATTATATACTTGGTGAATTAGTATAGAGAAAGGAGAGAAAACTAGTAACTAGTTACTACTATTGAATTATCGTAATCTCATGTGGGAGAATGTTATGTATACATGTTTGGAATCTGACAGTTGCGTCCTAAGTTTGGAATCACGTGCTCTGTTCACATTCCATCAGCGAGCACCATGTAACTTGGTACCTAAGAAAAGGCATCTTCAGTTCAATATGATCATAATGATCCTTACATTTCACCCTTTGTCCCAAAACATAGCTTTCGAACTTTGTCCTTTTTGTTGTCTTGTAAACGTGTATACTGTATATTATGTGTACTTTTCAATGGAATGTCCATTGTTTTCTTCTTCGTTTCTTGTCACCAAGGAATTCATTACGAGGCAACGAGGAAGGAAAGTATCGTAATCCTATGTATACATGGATGGAATCTGACAGTTGCGTCCTAAGTTGGCAATCTTTCTCATTCTATTTCCCATTTGCAACCTAACTTTCCCTCGACCGTAAGAGGTGGCCGAGGGAAATAAAAGAAAATGTGTGCTGCTCAAAATGAGGGTTAATAATACTTCTGATCATAAATGTGTTGATCAACTACGTTGTTTTGTTCGATTTTAATCTTTCGATTAGAAATTTACATCTAGTCTTGTTTTCAAGTTAAGAAAGATCGACTAATGATGAACTCGTCTCTAATGAGTCATATGTGACATGTTATATTTTTTAGGAATCATGATTTGTCTTTCCATTAGATTTTTTTTATGGTTAATAAAAGGAATATTAAGATCAAGAGTTGCAAACGGCAGAACTACATCTCTGTTTTAGAATGTCGGCAAGCTAACAAGTATGGCCAACACTTTACATAACCATCAACAACTAGAAGCAACATGACTATGATTCTAGTAAAGGGAATGTTGATGTAGAAACCAACTAAAACAGTTAACTATTACCCAAAAAAACCTTTTTTAACTGGATTATTTCATATCCCAATTTTGTCATTGTTTTTATAATACATCCGACATTTGAGATTTGATAAGCTCGAGATCATTGGATGGACCAAAATCAAGAAGTTGTAAGATGAATTTTTCGTATATGTGGCATTGGAATCTTCAAAGAAATGTAAGACCTATTTACTAATCATAGTAGACCCATTGACAAACAATCTAAATGGGGTGAAATTCTTAGAATGTTAAAAAAAAAACATATTTACAATCACATTACCTAAGAACTCCGGCCTAACTTAAAAGTGGAAAGTTCAGCATACCTACCAATTTGTTGACTCAATGCAGCACACAGAAATTAAGTTTAGGCCGTTGAATTAGTTCTTTCTTTAACCAAGTCAAGGTACAGTATTAAATTCCCAACCAAATCTATCACCCTTTTTCCTTCCTAAGTATTTTGTGTGATAATTGTTTCCTTACATTTTCTTTCTTTTTAGTCGATCATTCATTTTATTTAAATCTTTAGGTAAATAAAGACGTTGCGTGCAACGACGAGCGGTGAAAGCGAGAAGAGGTCATAAAAAGAAATCCAAAAAGAGAGGAAGATAGTTAATGAGGGAAAACTGGCTCTTGTTAGAGAAGTATTGGAAGGAGTTCAGTAAAAGGATCACATTTGGAAGATTAGCGATGAGAGAAGAGCCTTAAGTAATTCAAAATTTGTTTCAATGGCCGTTTCAAAATTTTAATTTCTAATAGAAAAAATAACATAACTGATCCTAAATTAACCTATTTTTCATGTTACACAGGGTTGGTTATAATCAATATCATACCATTTTTGGCTATGATTTATTTAGTATTTGTACATGCACTACCCACTTAGTTTATGTTATCTGCATGAACAAGTGGGTGGACACTTGTCCTCTTATGCTTCTCTGAATTCCTTCCCAAATAATTTTAAATAGCTAAAAAACAAAAAGAAATGCCAAAAACAGAGTTTTTATTTTAAATATGAACTCTTCCTCTAGATTTTTTCCACTTTCAGAAAATAGAAATCAACAATTCTCCTGTCCACAATTACCTAACATCAGAAACTCTTCTCCCACTCTAATGACGTGGCAGAAACCCATTGGCTCTCCCTTCCCTCAGGGCCAATCATTCTTCTTAATTACACATCTTTGGGTGTTGTCAATTTAAGGAAGATGGTCAATTACAGAAGTGATGACTGAATTTTGGGGTGGTTTACAAATCTGTCCAGAAAAGGGCACGAGTCCGAACGCTATGCTCATACATTGCTTAGGTACACACGTAGGTGAGCAATTCATACTTACTACTTAGTCCATCTCTGTTGTGTTCTTCATTGAAATTATCTAGACCAGTATGTCGATCAATTCTGCTAGCTTAGTAAAGAAAAATTCACTAAAAAAAAGTAAGGAAAAGTTCACCAAAAGTTTAACATCAACTACTAGAGTGGGAAGAGAAGACCATAATTATTGTGGGCAATGTAAGCTGAAATAGAGTCGAATAAACATTTTGATTTGGATAATATTTGAGTTTCAATATCAGTTAATTAGAATCCATAAGACCATTTTTGTTATTAATTTATTTGAGTTGACACACTGATTGAGATGATCCAAATAAAATGACCATATTATGTTCGGTCACTCGGACCTCTAGTGACAAATTTGTTAAAAATTAAACTCCAGGGGTTGTTTGACTATGAGCCATAAAGTTCAGGCAGTCATGTGACTAATTTACCCAAAAAATGGGGAAATATTGGAATTTAGAAAGAGGTGAGGCAGTTGTGGATTGGGATGGCAGTTGTGTTGAAAGTGCTATAACCCAACACTAACTCCTTTTAACCTTTCTTCCTCTAGTCTCCTTTTTCCCCAGAATCACACATCGGAAAATCCAAAAAGGGTTTCCGAATTTGCGTGTTAGGGTTCCAAAGTTTCAATCTTTTCTCTTTGTTTCTCCCAGTTCTTACCAAAGCAGGGGATAGATAGATAGATTTACTCTTTTTTCTCAAATAGCCATGGAAGGAGGAGAAGGTTCGCTGGAGTTTCAGGACTGGGAGGTTCTGGCTCATTCCGACACCGAAGCTGTTGTGATTAGCTCCCCTGTGTCGGTGGAGAATCCAAGGAGTTTCGAGGAGATCGAGGCTGATTCCGGCGGGATGATCAGGTTGGATTACTTCTCTATAGGAAATGATAGCATGTTTGATAAATCTGTTGTTGCTAGTGCTGCTGGTGAGGTAGAGAGCTCTGTTGAGTCTGATAATCCGAGTTGGATAGATCCTGCTATTGATAATCGATTCGAGGGCAAAAATTCGGTTGGATTCTGGTCTGATTCGGGTAGTGATCGGTCGGATGACCGCAAAGTTGGTGACTTTGATGTGAGAAATGAATTGGGTGCTGAAAAATTGGCCAAGAGCGAGGAAATGGAAGCTAAGGGAGTTGACGGAAGGGAGTTTGATCAGCTGGTGGGGGAGCTTTCGAGCTGTGAGGCGAAGAGTGAATCAGGTTTTGAGGAGAATGTGAAGACCCGCCAACTGGGTTTTGAAGAAATTGAGGAGAAGCTAGGGAAGGAGAAAGATATGACCAAATTCTGGTCTGATTCTGGTGGCGACGGCTTGGTTTTGGGTTCTGAGGTTCTGAGTGAGGAGGCCACTCGTGGTGGCAATGCTCCGGTGGAGGAGAACTCGGGTGTTGTTGAAGCTGGGGAAGGGAAACTGGGTGTTGGCGATGAGGGGAAGAAGCAGCCAGTGGTCTGGTGGAAAGTGCCGTTTGAGTTGTTGAAGTGTTGTGTTTTTAGAGTTAGCCCGGTGTGGACTTTCTCAATGGCTGCAGCTCTAATGGGATTCGTTATCTTGGGCCGGAAGTTGTATAAGATGAAGCGCAAGGCGAGGAGCTTGGAGCTTAAAGTTACCGTCGATGATAAGGTCGGTATATTGCTTTGTTTTCTTTTAGGATGTTCGAACTTTAGATTATGTGGTAAGATGTCGAAAGTTATATGCCAATGCAATGATGATTATGCGTTTCTTATTTATATGTGCTACTTTAGATAACTTCCCGTACTACCATAAGTTTGATGATCTTATCTGTTTTCTTGTTCATGTTTTCCTTCTGCCTAAAAGACTTGGCATTTTGCTACTCAAATGTATTTCCAAAGACATACCAGCTATCATTTATTTACCAGTGAACTGTATAGGCATTTCGATATAACGAGTACGCTGTTCGTTCCTTGAAAGATTTTTTTGTCAACTGTATATAATTTTTCAGAAGCGTGTGGTTATCTACTTATCTTATAGAAACCACTGTGAAAACACTTTGTTCTCACTTGTTTAACCACCCAAATGTGTTGTAGTTGAAACCTTTTCAAACACTCTAAATTACCCGAATTTACTTCTGATTTTGTTTTCCGTGTGTTTTCTCAATTCTGCAGAAGGTGTCTCAGTTCATGAGCCGTGCTGCACGTCTCAATGAAGCATTCTCCGTCGTGAGACGAGTTCCCATCGTCCGGCCTATGCTACCAGCTGCTGGTGTGAACCCATGGCCTGTGATGAACATGAGATGAACAAACAGCAGGGATTTCTTGTGCAGTTGAGGGAAGTACAAAAAAAGAATGGAGCATTGTGGGGAACTAAGTGCAGCTTGCTTGCTTTTGGTGTTTCTTGCTTTCTAGGGTTTCTTCTTTTGTCGTGCTTGGATGCCTCTTTTGGTCCATATATCATGTGCATAAAACTTGCAGCCTGAAAACTACTGAATCGCTCTCCCTCTCCTGTTTATCTTGTGTTTGTATAATTATTCCCCAAGTGAAAGTTATGGTTGAAATCATCTCATCCACTATTGACTAGCTGTTGCTCTTTAGTTTTCTGTCACAAATGTGGATGATACTTAAGGTAGTTATAGTATAGACAAAGAAGAACTATATCCAATTATCCATGTAACTCTGTTATAAAATCATACCGGCTTGGTATTGGTGTGTGCAATTGACTTTACATAATCGGTCTGTACATTACAGTTTTCGCTAGTGGTCATTAGAATCCGCGATCTCAGCGTGTCAACTCCTCGACATGTAAGGATTGTTGTTCATAACCATGCAGATGTGGAGTCGACATGATCGTTTTTCAGATTCAAATTATATTCGATTAGTACTGTGTCAGCCTCCTTCACGATCTCGAACCTATTACTCTTTTCCATCGATGTCACCAACGCGATGAAGCAAGGAAACGATAGAGGTGTAGACTGTAGAGAAGCAAGGAAACCCGATCTATAATGGCTTGCAAACGGCATTTCGACTCAAAGACATAGTACAAGTACTTGTTTGTGAGAGTGATATAGAACAGGGACCTAAAATGATATTTAACTTCCAAAATATCAGTCGAAATAGCTGCAAAAACAAAGGGGGTGTAAAGGTTCTGGAAAGAATCAAAGAACAGCAAATCGGAGATTGCAACAAAGGGAAACAATAATCAGATCGAAATCAAACTCTTCCCCGTTCAGCTCCTGATCCTCTCTCTCTGCAACCCTAAGCTGCTCTCGCCTTCTTCGCTCTTGGACTCTCTCACACGTCTTTGCCACCACCACCGGAGGACTCCTCAGTCCGATTCCCAGTCGCAAGTCTGCCGTCAGAAGTCCGTCCGCGCCTCCTTCCGTCGCGAGCTCGCTGCCTCCCTCTGGTAAGGTGGTGATTCTTCCCCCTACCCTTTGTTTTTCCTAGATTTCGGGGAACTGACGGAGAGCGAGAGATTTGGAGAGGAAGTAAGGCGGAACGAATTGTAAAAGAGACAGAGAAGGGAGTGTTCATCGAGCAACTCCAATGTGAATTCCAATTTTTTATTTTTTTTAGCGGAATTAAGATTCTTTGTCTCCTTCTAGGCTTTTGCTTAGGTTTGAAGTAATAATGTTCGAGATTCTGAAGATTGCGCTTTATTCTGAACTTGGTATCTTAAATTTGCTCGTTTGTGAGAGGAACCAATAGTTGTTGAGCTTCAGGTGGTCATGACATTCTGTACTCTTTCTTTTTGTGTTATATATTATCTCACTTGTGCATTTTCTTTGAATCTATTTGTTGCAGAGGGGGCAGGTTTTTGGGGTGTCGAAAAAGTTTGAATCTTTTGAATTGGTTTTCCACTTTTCATGCTTGAGGTGTGTTCAGAACAATGCAGAAGGATATAGGGTCACCAACATCTACACCTAGATTGCGGCATAGGAGAAGATCGAATGAGGTTTGTGGTTTTTGCTTACTCAAATTAGAAATTCGTAGAACTAGGCTGCTAGAGACTCACATAACTCTGTACTCGAAAACCTTTTACTTCCAATTTGCATGTCTGTTTGCTGCTGTTCATTTCTTGAGGATCATATTGGTTTCATACTCTGTGTGGAATCTTTCTGAAGCTTGGTTTGGAGAATGGTCGAATTGCATAATAGTGGTAGAGTATTATCACGTTAGTTAACAGGGCTGATATATGTATTTTGCTTCCAGATTCCTCAAGAGTTAAATAAATCAAACGGCGACAATTTACTCATCAATGACCAAAACAAGTACAAATCAATGTGGATTCGCACCTTGTCGTCCTTTTGGATGCTCGGGAGCTTTGTGTTTGCTCTTTATATGGGGCATCTATACATTTGGGCCATGGTGGTGGTTATCCAAATATTTATGGCCAGTGAGCTCTTCAACTTACTCAGGAGAGCTCATGAAAATAAGCGACTTCCTGGGTTTAGGCTATTGAACTGGTAAGCATGCAAGTGTTTCAGAGTGTGTGGGTTCAGATTTCTGTTTGTTTATTCCATGCAGCCAGATTGTACATGAGGATGGCTCACTAACTTTTTTGTCTTATGGTCATATGGCAGGCACTTCTTCTTCACTGCAATGCTTTTTGTTTATGGCCGTATTATCAGTCAGCGACTTGTGAACACAGTCACATCAGATAATATCTTCTACAGGCTTGTTGGTGGTTTTGTCAAGTACCACATGGCCATATGTTATTTCTTGTACATTGCAGGTGCCCAAGTTTTCTAAGTCTTCCTGTTATCTGCTGGTGTTTTTTTAATCAGTAGTTAATGCTGTTCTCATTTGTTCAGGGTTTGTGTGGTTCATCTTGACATTGAAGAAGAAGATGTACAAGTATCAATTTAGCCAATATGCTTGGACACACATGATACTTATTGTGGTATTCGCTCAATCTGCATTCACTGTGGCCAATATCTTTGAAGGGATCTTTTGGTAACGTAACTTCCAATTGCTGTCACTTTCCCTTTACATTCATATAGCTATTGATTGTTTTCTAAAAGCCATCTTATGGTGGCTGAAATTCAGGAATAATTATATGTGATTTGTTAGGCTGGATGATTTCACCTAAAATGCCCGAAACCGTTAATTTTGTTTATAATCTGGTCTTGGCATCTTCATTTGTTTTTCTTTTCTTTTTCAAGCAAAAAGATGCAAACCTTGTCTATGTAACCTGAGAACTTGAGACATATACATGCAGGTTTCTTCTCCCGGCATCACTTATCGCAGTCAATGATGTTGCTGCTTATTTCTTTGGCTTCTTTTTTGGCAAAACTCCTTTGATCAAATTGTCTCCAAAGAAAACGTGGGAGGGTTTTATTGGAGCATCTGTTGCCACTATGATCTCAGCATTCGTTGTAAGTGTCTTGCCATCAACTCATTTTTGCATTTGCAGGTTCTATTTTTATCTAAAATGATAGCTGTCATGAGTCTGCTTGTATGAAGCTCTAGTACCATAGTATTTTTGGTCTAAAAAATTTCATAGCATTGCCTGTATAGATCCGAGATTTACCGCAATGTTGTTGGAAAAAGAGAAATTCACCACCGTAGACTTAGCCTGGTGGTGTGGTTTCTTTATTTTAAGTGATGGTTTATTGGTAGGGTAATTGGATGGAACATTTAACACACTGGGTTCGTAACTTGGAGAGTGTGCATTTATGCCTGATGTAAAAGAAAGAAACGAGGGACTTTATAATGAGGCACATGCAAGGAGTAGAGATGTAGGTCGATGTTCCTCTTAATATTCCTCTCAATGTTCTCTTGGTGGAGAAGGATTGCCATCTTTCAGATTCTGCTGATGTGATTAATATCTGACGTATGTACTTGTCTCCTGCAGCTTGCAAACATCATGGGCCAGTTCCTGTGGCTGACATGTCCTAGAAAAGTATGTTTTCTTAGTTTCTAAATGAATGTACAGTCTTTCTGTGAAAATGGTAAAGAGCTGTCTCTGATTTTATAGAACTCTCACTGTGACGTGCACCATGCAGGATTTATCAACGGGGTGGCTTGACTGTAATCCTGGCCCTCTCTACAAACCAGAGCCCTATCCTTTGCCGGGATGGCTTCCTCATTGGGTGAGTGATATAATGGAAATCTCTATCTTCATGATGATTTGAAATCGATCATCTTGAAAGAGGAGAGGCTGCTAGTGATAGCTGACGTAGTTTTTCTTTTTCTTCTTTTTACGTTCCATATATAGGTACCTTGGAAGGAGATTTCAATCCTGCCAGTCCAGTGGCATGCGTTGTGGTTGGGTTTATTTGCATCAATTATAGCACCTTTTGGAGGCTTCTTTGCCAGTGGATTCAAGAGGGCCTTCAATGTGAAAGTAGGGTTTTTGTTGATTTATTATAAGTGATGAATGGATTTACAAGGGGTTTTCTACGTGTTTTAAAATAGTGTTTCTCATCTCCTGTCTTGATGTAAAAATACAGGATTTTGGGGATAGCATACCTGGGCATGGTGGATTCACTGATAGAATGGATTGCCAGGTAAGCATGCCAAGCTCTATACCCGAAACATTTTTTTATGTTAACTCCTATGTACAGTTGATGATATGAACACTCGATCTTTCTTTATATGCTTTGCAGATGGTGATGGCAGTCTTTGCTTACATCTACCACCAGTCGTTTGTTGCTCCTAACGACTCGTCAATCGAGATGATTATGAACCAGGTAAACTCTCGCTAGTAAAACTACTCTAAACTGGTTTTCGTTTATCTGATTGATTTGATTCTGATAATATCTTGGTTGGTTGGGGAGCAGATATTGGGCGGCCTCACGCCGGAGGAGCAGCGAGATTTGTACACGAAGCTAGGTGAGATACTTCAGGAGAGGATTAGACTATCATCGTGAAGTTATGTAGATAACATTTGTGCTTGCTTTTACTCTTGATCTTGAGTGCTTACAAACTTCCCCACTCTCCTTATGGAAGATAAATCTTATAGTGGTGACTCACTTTTCTCGCCCCCTTTATTCCTTGGGACTCAAGCTTCTGTTTATCTTTTATCTCCCCTTTTTTGCAGCTAATATTATCATTCTTATTATATGGCCTTCTGGTCTGTAATCGATATTCGACCCAGTGTATCATATTAGCTACACAAACTCACTACTTTGATGCTAGTTTTAGCAACAGAAACAATTTGTATTGCGGGGAATCGTGATTTCAAGCTTGTTCAAGTTTGATGCATTGTAGAGGCTCCTTGCCTTGAGTAACAGAAGTTAATGTCGATGCTTCAAAATTAGGGTCCTATGTGAACATGTGAACGAGTTCTATGATCAAGTTGATGTACAATCCAGCAGAAAAGAACAATTAGTTTGGATGATGTTGTTGAATAGGATATTTTGATTAGGGTGAAACATAATACGAGAAATACACAAATTGAGTTAATGTGTTGACTCGTTGTTTTAGGCCAATGAGAATATCGTATATATTTGGCTAGCTAGCTAGTTGATATGGTGTTAGCATATGCGAATATAGGGTTAACACTAAATTGGAAACTCATGCGCATAACGATATAACATCCAATCTATGTTGTGTTTAATTGATGCATGATAACTAGTTAAGGAAATTTGAATCAAAACAACAATTGCCCTATAATTAAAACTCACCTTGTAAACTTGTGTTTGGTCTAATTGCTTTGTTAATTCGATCAATAGTAGATTATGTTATTAATAGTATTTAGTGTGTTCTGTGGAGACAATGTTGCTTCTTTATTGATAAAACGATAGGTACACTTAGTTTAATTTTATTGCATCATCTATCACTTTATACATGTATGGACAACTCCTAGTTCCTCTCTCTCTCTCTCTCTCTCTCTCTCTCTCTCTCTCTCTCTCTCTCTCTCCTGTTACTATAGGGTTTACATCCTCGTATATTTGTATTCATACTATTTTGGCTTTGCATCTTATAATTATTATATATATCCATATTTATCGATCTCTATCTTTATTATCTTTACCGTTTTGTTTCCCTCACAGATTTCTCCATAATCTCTTCCAACCAATACCCAAAAAACCCTAGATAGATGGAATTGTGCATCATTAGTATCAATTTTAAACGAAAACAATAGAAAGAAAAAGGAGCCTTATATCCCCACCCACATATATCCCGACTCTCTCTCTCCAGCGCTACCTCCTTTCCCCATCTTCTACAAAACCTCCCCCATCTTATACGAGATAGGAACACCATGACTCAAGGATTCAAGGCTCTCTCCTAAAAGATCCTTAGCCTAGATTATGAAAAGAAGAAACTTTTGACATATACTAGTTGGCCCGGACATTCAATCCGCCCCAAAAAATAGTAAGGTTGTCCGAACCTGACCAATTTTCGTCGAGTTTGACTGTCACGCGCTTTGGAGCTAACTAGAGGTCGGTGTTGAAATCAAACAGACTGAACTTGGTTTGATCGACATGATCAACACAACAATAAAAACCTTGAAAAATATAAGAACTAGAAAGAGTCTTATTGATTAACATGGTAGTCAGCGTTGAAACTTGAAACTGCTATAACCCACCCGTGCCTATGCCTTTTCTTAGTTACCATGAGGAGTTGGATTATGGCCTTTAAATTTACCTAGTCTGTTTCCAATTTGATATTGAAAACATTAGAGTTTGTTTTGTTAACTTCAATATCTCCAAGTCTAATCTAAAATTTTCCCTAAATCTGAATTCTTCAACATATACACACCACCTTATGTGAAAAATCAGTAAGAAGGCTATTTATGTATACTAACAAACCACTCCACCGAAAGAATTCCATTTCGATAAAGGACATATAAATACATAGAATACATGGTTGGTTGTGTGTTCTAACTTCTAATCATATAACTCATAATGATCACCAAAATTACATTATGCTATATATGTTAGAAGTAGTCCTAACTCACTAAGAATTTGAATGTGCCTATTATGCATGCAATTCCCCAAGCTTTCTTTTTTTTGTGAGACTGAAACCCTCCTCAAAAAATACATGGTACCTCAATTTTATCAGAAAATTAAATTTTGGTACCTCAATTTTTTATTATGATTATTTAGTATCTAAGATGTAAAAATTTACATATTGGTCAAATGTTTAGATGTCATTTGGATCCACCAATTCAATCCACCAATCTATTTAATTAAAGTTCATGAATCCATCAATAATACATTTAGTCCAATCCATTTGCCACCTCTACTTACAGAAATCATTCAGGTTTTTACTTGCCAATTGTTTAACCAGTTTAGCTTTCCATAACTTCTTTACCTACAAAGTGAAGATGAATAGTTTGGTTAATATGAATTAGGAGTTGCGAGGGGATCTTAACTCTGCTGGCAAACGCAAGCCAGGAAGCTCTAGGAGGGCCACCCTAGGACATCCACAAACCCTGAGAATATGGGAAAGTAATTTCATAAATGTGTTTTGTTGGAATATGGATTAATTTGTATAATACGACAAATTACTATGCAATTAACAAGGCCAATTCGTCTCCTCCCTCTTTCAGATGTCCATGACTGTACTTTATGACCAGCTGATCTACGAGGAGTGGGCATTGTATAGCAAAGACGAGAAAATGAAGGGGGATTCCTCAAAATTGTAATAAACAAGAAAGTCACATGGCATGTCCTGAAATTAGGGTGTTAACAGTTACTAAAATACTCTTAATAATTACACTTAGCGCATTATCTGGTGTCGTAGTTGATGCCCAAGTTTCTTATCAAAGCATTTTTGTTTGTTTGGTTCTCTCCAATATTTCAATGTCTAATATAAAGTAATCCCTATATACAAATTACTTAGCATGTACAAATCCTCAATGAAAAATCAATAAGACGACTAGTTATGTATACTAACAATCACTCCACCTACCAAATTAATTCTTTCACTAGAGGACATATAAATATGTAGAAGACATGGTTGGTTGTGTGTTTATAATCATATAGTTCACATTGATCACCAAATTACATCATGCTATGTTAGAAGTAGCCCAAATTCACCAAGAATTTGAATGTGCCTATTATATATGCATGCAATTCCCAAGCTTTTCGCTATATTGTGTCTTTAGTAATGAAATGAAGCCAAGACCTCTTTGAAATGCACATTGAATAATGTCCTTCCCTTGACTAAACTATGAGTCTTGTGGGATCGAAGACCTCATTCAATCCACGACAAGAAGAAAACAAAAGCTCCCATAATGTATGAGTTATACAATTCTACTCCATCACGTTTTTTTTGGGCACTTCTAATTAAAAACGGTTGGTCCAATTTATAATTAGTTTTTAATTATACCAAACATAAAGAAAATAAATCACAAATGGATCAAAACAATATTTCATTCAATTTAACAGTTTATTCGTTCTTAATACTATTTTTTTTAGTTTTTCCTAATTGCGTTTCATAAGTAAAATAACATTACACGAAGGGAAAAAGTTCTTCAGTCTATGAGAGCCACACATAAAAAAGAATATATAATAGTGACTTTTTTTATATCAAATTAGTGAGTAGAGTTTTTTGGCTTTTTGGGTATTGGTTGGAAGTATGATCTGGCAGTCAGAGCCCAATCTTTCGCCGGTTGGCTCTTTCAGACGTCCGACTAATATAAGCCACAATACGTCGGACGACCTTATCGGCTACGCTTTCCGACTCCAGTGAGTTCTGTTTCGGATTTTGCTGCTGATTTCCGTGGTGGCGAGGCGGACGAGAAGTAAGATTCGGCAGTCGGAGCCCAATTTTTCAACGGATGGGGAGTGAAGGGGGAATAATCACTATGATTGGGCACATTCTGCACGTGGCATAGAAGAATCATTTCTGATTTCTCCTTTTCTTGATTAGTTTTCTTTTTATGGTCACGTGGAGTAGTTTTGATTTGGGGGAGGGGAGCGGGTAATTCGGCTATTTAAGAAAACGATCCGCCCGACTCTAGGTCTGTGGAGTCCTTTTACAGGCCTTGGGCCCAAAATGGGTCTTGCATATCTTTAACTTAAATTAAATATATTAGAAAAGGCTTTCAAAATATGGCATAGGCCACGTATGCTCTATTGAAATTTGCTTCCTCCACATTAGGCCTGGCTATTATGTGTTTTCCTACTTTTTTCAGCGTTTCTCATCCCCAAAAAAAATGTGACTTTTCTTGGTTACCATGAGGAGTTGGATTATGGCCTTTTAAATTTACCTAGTCTATTTTCAATTTGATATGGAAAGCATTAGAGTTTGTTTGGTTATCTCCAATATCTCAAAGTCTAATCTAAAGTTATCCCTAAATCTGAATTCTTCAACATATACACACCACCTTAAGTGAAAAATGAGTAAGAAAGCTAGTTATGTATACTAACAAATCACTCCACCCAAAGAATTCCATTTTGCCGAAGGACATATAAATACATAGAAGCCATGGTTGGTTGTGTGTTCTAATCATATACTTCACATTGATCACCAAAATTACATTATGGTTAGAAGTAGTCCTAACTCAGCCAAGAATTTGAATGTGCCCATTATGCATGCAATTCCCCTAGTTTTTTTTTTCCAGGTCGAAACCCTCCTCAAAAAATGCATGGTGAATAATGTCCTTCCTCCCTCGCCTAATCATGAGTCTCGAGTGTGAAGGCCCCATTCAATCCATGAGACCATCCACATCCATGAAATACCATTTCTATGGACTGAATGTGCCTATTATTTATCGCAATTTGAACGTGCCTATGATCCATATCAATTGCAAGTAATTAGATAGGGACATATCCATCAATGCAGCTAACCTTTTTTGTTTTCTTTGTTGTTTTTTACCTAGAAATCCATGCATAATGATATAGTGTAAGGTGAGCTTCTTTGTTGACAATTTTGACTCTGACTTTTGAACTAATGAGAGGGATGGATGGATAGATAGATAGATAGAAACAATGAATATATTGTGTATGCAAAATAAATAATATTAAGTATAGTAACAACCTCACACTAACAATACGGTCCATCATAGTTTTCCTTTCATGTGGCTTTTGCCAAGTCCACAAATAGTGCCAGTGGTGATATAATGAGGTTACATATTGAAGTTGCGTCTTTTATTGCTTTTCTTACCAAGCCATGCATAATGATATAATGCAGGTGAGCTTCTTTGTTGACATTTTTCACTCTGCCTAGCTAGCTAGCTAGCTTTTGAACTAATCAGAGGGACTAGAAACATAGATAGATGTAGTAGTTGAGCTACGTACTACCAACAACATATTTCAGCCGTTGTCCTATCTTCCTACATACGTACGTCTCCTTTAGCCTTTCTTTCTTCTTCTTCTTCTTCTTCCGCTCCTATAAATTGCCCCCTGATACCAAGCAAAAAGCAATACCTACACACATCTTTTCTCCTTGTTCAACACAGATTTCAGGCATCGCGGCATGGCTTCTCACAGGAGAAATTGCGTCGTTCCCGTGTTGCTGCTGCTGGTCGCTGTCGTCCTCGACATACCATGCAATGGAGTGGCTGCTGCTGCGTCTCGGCGCATGCTGGAGATGCCGGAGCTTCCCAAGCCTGCAGAATTGCCTCCGCTCCCCAAGGTCGAGCTTCCTCCTCTGCCCAAGCCTGAGGTTCCAGAGTTGCCCAAACCCGAAATCCCCAAGCCTGTTGTTCCTGAGGTGCCGAAACCTGAACTTCCTAAGCCTCAGGTTCCAGAGTTGCCGAAACCTGAGCTCCCTAAGCTTGAAACTCCGGAACTGCCGAAGCCCGAAATCCCTAAACCTGAAGTTCCTGAGGTCCCGAAACCTGAAATCCCAAAGCCCCAAGTTCCCGAGCTTCCAAAGCCTCAAGTTCCAGAGCTGCCAAAACCTGAAACTCCTAAGCCTGTAGTTCCAGAGTTGCCGAAACCTGAAATGCCGAAGCCCCAAGTTCCAGAAGTGCCCAAACCTGAGGTCCCAGCCTTGCCGAAACCTGAATTCCCAGCTTTCCCAAAACCTGAGGTGCCAGAGCTGCCGAAAGTGCCAGAGATTCCAAAACCTGAACTCCTAAAAGTACCAGAATTCCCCCATCTGCCTGACCTTCCGAAACCCATTACTCCTTGAATCTTTATGGACTTTGTCATATACTAGTTCTTGTGCCTCATGAAGCAGCATCTCCGTTTGTTTGGTTATTTTTGTGTTTCCGTTTTGTTTTTCTTTAATGGTTTTGTACTCATTTATACTTGTGTGATTATTGTACTTCATCATGTATCCGATATGATTGATATATTGAGATGAACATTATTCTATTTTTAATTATGATTTTCTTGTCACTTTAGTTAGATAAGATTCATGGTTAGACTTGTCATTCTAGTGTCAATTAACCAATAAAATTGTATCCATATCAAAACGGTATTTTGTTTAATTTTATCTGATTCGATTTCAATTGAAATCAAAATATATCCAATTTAGTCTGATTTAATTTCGACTGATCTTCTTATTTCTATTGAGAGTCTTGTAAATTGACTTCTAATTGCTTCCAAATTACATTAACCGCAATGAGTCAATAGCAAAGATGTTTTGGTAATTTGATTAGTAGTTAAGTAAATAAAAAAATCACCTTTATAATTGGATGAGTAACTCACTTTAATAGTTTATTACTAGTAGTTCGAGTATTTGTTGGACATGACATTGCTTGCTTTTTTTTTACTAAAAACGATATGTAAACTTATGTTAGACTCTTAGCTATGATACATTATGCATTGACTATTATATCTCTCTATCTACTTTTGTCTTTCAATCAATAACCATCTGATAAGAAAACTTCTGTATTTCAAGCAATAACAACATATGATAAGAAAAGAATGAGCAGCACATCAAAAAATGAAACAAAACCAACGAGAATCCATTTAAGACCTTGAAGTAAATGTTTTGGTAACGATGTTAACGTTCTTGCAAATAGTACAAGTTTGCAAAGGGTAGGTCTGGATGCTCTAGATCGGCCTTGGATTCGAACTGTTCGTCCTCCTTCATCGGTCTCTCTGCCCCTCCCTCACCAAGACATCTCATAAGAAGAAGAGAGCATGTGGAGAAGAATACACCAGCTAGTATGAGCATTTGATTCAATCCCACCGACTAACCCTCTTCCCCTCCATTTAATTCAATCCCGCCACTGGCGACTAATTGAAATTCAGGAGAAACCCTAACGAACCTGAAAAGTTGATAGGACGAGTGTGCAGGGGGTTAAAGGGGGGAAAAGGCAATTGCGACCAAAAGGACGTCAAATTGCGTAATGAAATTGACTGGATTAGGGATAGAATTTGGAAAGCAAGCCGCGATGCGAGAAAAGAGGAAGCTTAGTGTCGCTCGCAAATTTGAAAAGGACGAATCGACCCGCGGTCAGCTAACTCTCTTCCTCTCTGTCCTGGCCCGTCGAATCCAACCATCGCCGACTAACTCCCTTCCTCTTTGTTCGTCGAACCCTAGTTTGCGCCTACTTATTCTAATTTTCATTCATCAAGCAATCCAAAGGTAGTAGAAGAATGAAACTTCCTTCAACTTTCCTAAATGCTATTTTCTTTTGATTTTGGAGGCTACAGATCACGGATTCAACCCGAGGCTATTCTACACATATAATGCGGTCTATTGATCCTATTATCTGCCAATGATTAAGCCCATTAAGCATCGATTTGGGCGAATTTATTTTGGGATGGCATTTTCGTAATATTTTAGACGATTTTTTTCGAAAGGCCATTTACCATGGATTTTGAAGGCTATAGATCACGGATTCGGTTTGAGACTATTCTTCAACGATGACTAAGTCCATTAAGCACCGATTCGGCGGATATCTTCCGTGTCAATTTTTGGCAGATCCCAAAGGGTACCATCACCGCTTTCAGGCGATTTTTCAGAAATGCCATTTTCTTTCGATTTTGGAGGCTACAGATCACGGATTCGACCCGAGGCTATTCTCCACATATAATGAAGTCTATCGATCCTATTCTACGCCAATGATTAAGCCCATTAAGCATATATTTGGGCGAATTTATTTTGGGATGGTATTTTCGTAATATTTTAGACGATTTTTTTCGAAAGGCCATTAACCATCGATTTTGAAGGCTACAGATCACGGATTCGGTCTGAGGCTATTCTTCAACGTTGATTAAGTCCATTAAGCACCGATTCGGGTGGATATCTTCCGGATCAATTTTTGGCAGATCCCAAAGGGGTACCATCACCGATTTCGGGCTATTTTTCTGAAATGCCATTTTCTTTTGATTTTTAAGGCTACTGATCACAGATTCAACCTGAGGCTATTCTCCACATATAATGAAGTCTATTGATCCTATTTTCCGCCAATGATTAAGCCCATTATCCATCGATTTGGGCGAATTTATTTTGGGATGGCATTTTCGTAATATTTTTGACGATTCTTTTCGAAAGGCCATTTACCATGATTTTGAAGGCTATATGGATTCGATCTGAGGCTATTCTTCAAAGATGATTAAGTCAATTAAGCACCGATTCGGGCGGATATCTTCCGGGTCAATTTTTGGCATATCCCAAAGGGGTACCATCACCGATTTCGTGCGATTTTGCCGAAATGCCATTTTCTTTCGATTTTTGAGGCTACAGATGACGGATTCAAACCGAGGCTATTCTCCACATATAATGAATTCTATTGATCCTACTCTCCGCTAATGATTAAACCCATTATCCATCGATTTGGGCGAATTTTATTTGGGATGACATTTTCGTAATATTTTAGACGATCCTTTTCGAAAGGCCATTTACCATGGATTTTGAAGGCTACAGATCACGGATTAGGTCTGAGGCTATTCTTCAAAGATGATTAAGTCCATTAAGCATCGATTCGGGCGGATATCTTCCGGGTCAATTTTTGGCATATCCCAAGGGGTACCATCACCGATTTCGGGCGATTTTTCCGAAATGTCATTTTCTTTCGATTTTTGAAGCTGCAGATGACGGATTCAAGCCGAGGCTATTCTCCACGTATAATGAAGTCTATTGATCCTATTCTCCGTCAATGCTTAAGCTCATTAAGCATCGATTTAGGCGAATTTATTTTGGGATGACATTTTCGTAATATTTTAAACGATTTTTTCGAAAGGCCATTTACCATGGATTTTGAAGGCTACAAATCACGGATTCGGTCTGAGGCTATTCTTCAACGATGATTAAGTCCATTAAGCATCGATTCGGTCGAATATCTTCCGGGTCAATTTTTGGCAGATCCCAAAGGGGTACCATCACTGATTTCGGGCTATTTTTCCGTAATGCCATTTTCTTTCGATTTTGGAGGCTACAGATCACGCATTCAACCCGAGGCTATTCTCCACATATAATGAAGTCTATTGATCCTATTCTCCGCCAATGATTAGGCACATCAACCATCGATTTGGGCGAATTTATTTTGGGATGGCATTTTCGTAATATTTTAGACGATTTTTTTGGAAAGACCATTTACACTGGATTTTGAAGATTACAGATCACGGATTCGGTCTGAGGCTATTCTTCAACGATGATTAAGTCCATTAAGCACCGATTCGGGCGGATATCTTCCAGGTTAATTTTTGGCAGATCCCAAAGGGGTACCATCACCGATTTAGGGCAATTTTTCGGAAATGCCATTTTCTTTCAATTTTTGAGACTACAGATCACGGATTCAACCCGAGGCTATTCTCCACATTTAATGAAGTCTATTGATCCTATTCTCCGCTAATGATTTAGCCCATTATCCTTCGATTTGGGAGAATTTTATTTGGGATGGCATATTCGTAATATTTTAGACGATCCTTTTCGAAAGGCCATTTAGGCATTTACCATGGATTTTGAAGGCTACAGGTCACGGATTCTGTCTGAGGCTATTCTTAAAAGATGATTAAGTCCATTAAGCACCGATTCGGGCGGATATCTTCCGGGTCAATTTTGGCAGATCCCAAAGGGGTACCATCACCGATTTCGGGCGATTTTTCCGAAATGCCATTTTCTTTCGATTTTTTAGGCTACAGATGATGGATTCAAACCGAGGCTGTTCTCCGGATATAATGAAGTGTATTGATCCTATTCTCCGCCAATGATTAAGCCCATTAAGCATCGATTTGGGCGAATTTATTTTGGGATGGCATTTTCGTAATATTTTAGACGATTCTTTTCGAAAGGCCATTTACCATGGATTTTGAAGGCTACAGATTACGGATTCGGTCAGAGACTATTCTTCAACGATGATTAAGTCCATCTAGCACCGATTCGGGCGGATATCTTCCGGGTCAATTTTTGGCAGATCCCAAAGCGGTACCATCACCGATTTCGGGAGATTTTTCAGAAATGCAATTTTCTTTCGATTTTGGAGTCTACAGATCACAGATTCAACCAGAGGCTATTCTCCACATATAATAAACTCTATCGATCCTATTCTCCGCCAATGATTAAGCCCATTAAGCATATATTTGGGCGAATTTATTTTGGAATGGCATTTTCGTAATATTTTAGACGATTTTTTCGAAAGGCCATTTACCATGGATTTTGAAGGCTACAGATCACGGATTCGGTCTGAGGATATTCTTCAACGATGATTAAGTCCATTAAGCACCGATTCGGTCGGATATCTTCCGGGTCAATTTTTGGCAGATTCCAAAGGGGTACCATCACCGATTTCGGGCTATTTTTCCGTAATGCCATTTTCTTTTGATTTTTAAGGCTACTGATCACGAATTCAACCCGAGGCTATTCTCCACATATAATGAAGTCTATTGATCCTATTCTCCGCCAATGATTAAGCCCATTATCCATCGATTTGGGCGAATTTATTTTGGGATGGCATTTTCGTAATATTTTAGACGATTTTTTTCGAAATGCCATTTACACTGGATTTTGAAGGCTACAGATCACGGATTCGGTCTGAGGCTATTCTTCAACGATGATGAAGTCCATTAAGCACCGATTCGGGCTAATATCTTCCAGGTCAATTTTTGGCATATCTCAAAGGGGTACCATAACCAATTTCAGGCGTTTTTTCCGAAATGACATTTTCTTTCGATTTTGGAGGCTACAGATCACGGATTCAAGCCGAGGTTATTCTCCACATATAATCAAGTCTATTGATCCTATTCTCCATCAATGATTAGGCACATCAAGCATCGATTTGAGCGATTTTATTTTCGGATGGCATTTTCCTAATATTTTAGACGATTTTTTTCGAAAGACCATTTACACTGGATTTTGAAGGCTACAGATCACGGATTCGGTCTGAGGCTATTCTTCAACGATGATTAAGTCCATTAAGCACCGATTCGGGCGGATATCTTCCGGGTCAATTTTTGGCAGATCCCAAAGGGGTACCATCACCGATTTAAGGCGATTTTTCCGAAATGCCATTTTCTTTC